GTCTGGTGGAAGACGAACGCCTTCGAAGGTATGTTATTTCGGACGGTTCTGCCACATAGAGCCCCTCTAATTTGCTCTGATAATACTCCAAGCGGAAATTTATTTTCCAATTCTATGTACTATATGGTTTTAGTGGTTAATATATGGGATTTTTTAAAAAAAATTCTGACCCAAAATTACAACCGGATGAATCTCCTTGTAACGCAAATTAAACGAAATGCACGCTCCAAGTTCCTTTTAGCCTCATAAAATGATGTCAATGTCATACGTACAGCTGCACAAAAAACTACAAATCATGGATGGATCAAAATCCAAAAATCTAGCATTTTAACTGTACAAATAATGCTCATAATCGTGTTCAACGCACTCGGAATTTCTCCGCGCATTTGCAGTGGCATGCAGAGATCAGTTGAGGAATTTCAGGTAGTACCTGAGGTCGGTGGGAAAGCACGGGTACTGCCTCCAGAATGCGCCGTGCACCCTGAGGAGCTTCGCCGCCTTCTCCTTGGTGGACGCCGAGTTCTCCACCTGCGGAGCGCCAGCAGCTTCCCCACGCCGCCGCTCATCAGCATGTCATCCAGCACCCTCTCCGCGGGCGTCACCGCGCACGCCACCAGCCACAGCACGCTCACGGCCAGCCTGCTGACGAGGACCGACACGCGCAGCATCGTCCGTGTCACGGTCGACACCGCCAGCGCGTGCTCCGCGAAGGCGAGCCGGCCCTCGGGGCACTTGCACAGGCGCTTGAGCAGGAGGAGCGCGCGCTCGGCGACTCGGCTGTCGGCGTCGGGGAGGAGCTCCACGAGCACGCAGACGGCGCCCACCTCCACGGCCTTGGCGCGCCGAGCGCCGCGGGAGCGCACCGTGACGTCGAGGAGCACGTCGAGCGCGCGGGAGCTCAGCTTCGCTGGGGCACCGTCGGACAGGAGCTCGAGGAGGGACTTGACCAGGTCGTCGACGTCCACACCAGGGGTCCAGTCACGCTCGGCGCCGCTGGCACTGGAGATCTTGGCGAGGATGGCCGTGCAGCCTCGACTCGGCGCTGCCGCGCTGCACCACCGCGACCACGGGCTTCATGCACTCGGGTTTGAGCACGAGCTCCACCGACGCGTCGTCGGAGAGAGGGAGCGTGGCGAGCACCGCGCCGGCCTCCTCGCACGTCCGGAACGCCGAGAAGTCTCCACCGGCGCAGCTCTCCGCCAGCGCCTGTGTCATGACGCGGCCGAGCACCTGAATGCCGCCGTAGGCGACGAAGTCCTGCTGCGCTGCCACGTCTTCATCCATGCAGCGCCTGAGGTTCTTGAGCGCGGTGACCTTGAACGGCGTGGCCTCAATGCCGGTGAGCACCGACGGTAGCTTTTCCCGCGCCAGCTTATTGCACAGCGGCGTGCTCGACGACGATGACGAGGAGGAGGAGGCGTGGTCAAGCCAGGTGGAGATGACGCGCTTCAGAGTGTGGTTGGGCGTGAGGTCGAAGGAATTCAGCCGCTGCATGGTGGCCGGGCACGTCGTCTTGCCGTACTTGAAGAACCACCGTTCGATGCTGCGGCGATCGTAGGTGACGCCGGTGGACACCGTGACGGGGTCCTCCATCAGCTCCATGGAGATGGGACACAAGAACAGCTGAGGCGGCTCCTCCATGGCCATCACCTGAATCGAACTCTATCTGGGGCAAATCCAAGCAGCTGAAACTGGCAACCAATCAAGACTCAAGCAGGATTCTTGGCGTCAGGTTTGTACAGAAAACAAAGTAGCATGTCTGAGAGGGACGCTGGAGGGGATCAGGGCCCAGGGGTATGGGTTTTATATCTGCATTTAGGTGTAATATAATGCAGATGTCATACTAGCCCGTCAAATAACTCAGGCTGAATATGGTATAAATTAGTACTCCCTTTATTTCAAATTATAAGTCATTTCGTCTCTAAATACTATACATCAAGATATACACTAGATCTAAGATTTGGAATAGAGGAGTAACTTTTACTCCCTCCATTTCCAAGTAAATCAATTTTTAGAGCTATCTTAAGTCAATTCTTTTTTAGTTTGAACGAGAAAAAAAACGCCTAGATTTATGACACCATATTAGTATCATTACATACAACATGGAGTATATTTTCATAGTGTGCTTATTTGGTCAAATTATATTATAATTTGGTCAAATTTAAAAAAAATGTTGGCTCAAGACATCTATATAATTTGATCTATATGTCGTTTTGATTTTCTAGACAAAGCATGTACCTAGATGCATAACAAAAACTATGAACATCAAAAGGTCAAAAATACCAATAATTTGGGACGGATGGAGTATTATGTTTCCTTTTTTCAGGACAGAGGGTAGCACAGCGTTGCAGTGAAAATAGTACATTATGCAAATGCCAGGGTAATATTGCAAACAACAGCAAATTCTTGGTCCTTACGAAAGTACATGATTTTCGTGGTTGAAACAAAATTCGTGATTTTTAACTACTGTCTACCAGAAGACGCTACAAGAACAAGTGGAAGAGCGCAGCTTGCAGTATTAGTACCGTTGCAATTTGGTTTCCATGGACCATAAGCAGTGCAACATGAGCTGTGGTCAGAACTCAGAAGTCAGATGGCCACAAAAGTAAGCGATGCTTGCATATTGAGTGCAAGGTTGGCACCTAAAATAAAAGCCAGGCCGACATCGATTAGCCAAGATCTGCAAACTCAAGACTTTGTCTCTCATCTAAACGCTAAAAAAAGGATTTTGACCTATAAACCAGGACTTGAGTTGCATGATTTCGATGGGCGTCGACTTGAGCAAACAAGCAATCTGGTGGGCGTCGACTTTAGCAAGCAAGCAATCTGATGGGCGACGGCTGCTCATCGCGAGGTGTCTGCTCGCAACTGGATTTGCAGGCATGCTCTCTGACCTTGCGATTGCAAGACAGATTCAGATTGTAATGCCAAAGTAAAACTGTTGAGAATACAGCGTGATGCAAATGTTAGCTACCTGTCAGAAAGACAGAAACAGAAGGTGTATGTGGGAGGTTTGATCTTGGGACGTCAAATGCATCTTGGAGTTGTTAATGTAGTTGCAAGAGGAGCTGGCCGGTGATGACGGTGGATCAGAATTGTTAATCCATTTGTTTGTCGTTTTTATTCTTATTCTTATTTTATTTCTTGGCTGTGGGCGGTTGAGCGTTTCCTTTGACTGTACCATCAGGTTGCCTTTTTCCTATTCCAAATTCTAGCCGCATTCTTAGCTGTTTCTCCAAAACTAAATGGTACCCTTTCAAGTAACTAGTACTCCTACTATTTTTTATAATGAAATCCTAATGACACTGTTAAATGGTATTGGTAAACGCAGCTGATGGTGCTCAAGCCTATCCATCTTGTTCCCGGGTGAAGAACTGAAGAGTATTGTATTTGTATGGGCAGGAATAGTACAAGTCAACACTGAGATTTGTCTTATGTTTCTCGTGGTTTAGGTAAACGTCTGATACCATTTTGGCATCTTTCCTTGTCATGAACTGTTCGCACTCTCTTGAAACAGCCCCATCGAGACAAGACGAGTGCAGTGACAGCCAGTCTCAACTCTCAACTAAAACACTTGCTGACACAACCTTGTTCGCTTGTACTGTCTTTAATAGGGTATCAAGATTTATTCCGGCACAGGGGGATCGGGTGTGTTTCTTGTTCAACGAAACGAAGTAGGAGTAGCTGGCCAGCCAGCCATTGCTCTGCCTTAATTGGCCAGGCAAAATATATTTATTTTTCTTGTGGTTAGAACTAGCTAAAACAAGCTTAATATATTCTGAACATGGGTCATGGATGATTTTCTTCACTATATCATATTTTATGTTCTGTGAAGGCTGTCCATTAGTGCACCCCCATTTAGCAAAACAAGGTGCTATTTGTAAGCATGAACTATGAAACCTGCACGAAATTTAAGTTTACCGATTCTTGCAAGTATTTCAGGACGAATTGACATATATCCACTTGCCAACGCGGCGCGCCACACGTCGTCCGAGGACTATGCATTTGCCGAGCCACATGGTTCCGTCCAACAAACGCTTCCTGATACATTTGACTGCCGCGCTATTTTCTTTTGAACAAATGCAGCAATCAGCGCGGCTCAAGATCCTCAAGGAACTGCGAAATAGTACGTTGACTAAGATTTTTTTTTTAGAAAAACACATCATGATGACAAAACTGCCACCGACTAATTGGGTTATAAGATTCTGGGATTTGGAAACGTCAAGCGCGAATTTTCAGCACTATTTTTTAGCGAACGAACAATATTTTTCTCTCACAACAAATCAGCATAAGCCAAATTTCAGTGAAACAAACAGGGTTCAGCTACCGGTGAACAGAAACAACAATTCCACTGCTGACAAAACGGCATTGACAAGGTACTACTCCAGACTTCGGACAGAGTCCCGTTTTAGGAATGCTTCAGAGTTTACCTTGGATTTGGCCCATAGCATCTGACGGTTGCTTGAATTGGCATCCAATCCAACTAAGAATATACGTGGCCAACATTTTCCAAAAGGCGTGAGTCAGACAGTAGAAGAATTCTGATCTGATGATTCATGACAGTTTACCAAATTATCAAATGGGTTTCACAAAGTGGCACAGCTACCTGGACCTACATGATTCCTTTCAGACATCGGCCTTGGCATATTGCAACCTGCAGGAGAGAACTGATCATGATAGTTTAGGTTTAACCAGTCAAATCACTGATGTCTCAACCAACTGTACCTAATTACTCTTTCTTTAGGGGAAGAAATAAGACGACTGTAACAAACTCAAGCTCCATTCCAGATTCGAGAAGTGCAGTACAGGATGGACTAAGCCAAATCCGATTTAATAATTGAAAACAATATACAGATCATCAAGTGACTATAGTATGCCAAAGGGCTTTACTGGAATGTCATTACCATCATGTGTGTATATCAAAGTCAGATTAGATGTAAAAAAAAAAATTGTGTTGAACATATTGTTTCCATATGGCATGACAGACCCGGTATTATAGATCATTCAATCCTCTCATGGTAGACATTCAGGACATAGCTGTTGAGGAGATCACCAAATGTCTTGGTCGAGAATTTTTGCACCACATGGTCTCGTGCTTGTTCACCCAATCTGACAGCAAGATCATGATCATTCACAAGTTTCAGCATGGCTTTGGAGAATTCTGCGGGAGAGGGATCACACAGAAACCCTGTTACTTCATTCACAACTGTTTCCACTGGGCCACCACTATTGCAGGCAATTACAGGCTTATGGGCTGCCATGGCTTCAAGAGGTACAATACCGAAATGTTCATCCTGGATAAGTACGAGACACAGGCTTGTTTATTAAGGTAAATAGAATGCTTAGCTTGATGTAAGCCCTAGCACAGCTACACACTTACCTTGGGAGTGTATAAAACACAGAGGCAGTTGGAGAGAAGCTCGTTTCTTTCAGATGTTGAGCAAGATGTAACAAAATTAACCTGTCCAGACACCCCTTCAGTCACTGCGAGTCTTTTGAGTTCCTCAAGGTATTCAACATTTTCCTTCAGACGCTTATCATAGCCACCTAAAGAATGAGCATGGTAGGAAATCAGCGCAGTCAATATTTTATATTGTTTAAAACCCTTGATTTTGTAACATTGAACATGCAACTAGAAGGAAAATAAATATGCAAACAAAATCACCTGCCACTGTTAATGTTGCTTCTTGCAGAGCATCACCAGGTAGAGTCGAAGCAAGAGAACGGAGCAAAGCAAATGCTGAAATGGCAAGATCAAGATTCTTTTTCCTCTCAAACCGGTTGATTGATATGAAATTCAATCTGTACAAAAGATGGTTGTCTAGTTTAGCTAAATGTGAATATGATAATGGTAAGAAGATCTGTTTAGTCTAAAAATTGAATAAGTGAGACCTAAATGTAAGGAGATATACAAGCATGAAGTTACTTATAAGCATGGGGTTCGTGAAACTGCTCAACAGAGACAGCTGGATATAGAACACCAGGCTTGATTCCTCTAGCATGTAAACCAGAAAAGGTCCTTGCAAAAGTTGCTGCAGTGAACTTGCTATTAACTAGAATCAAATCAGCCATACCTGATATACATAAAAGGTAACCACTACAATTACAATGCTGCTGGATGCCAAGACATATTCCAGAAAAGGGAAGAAAAAATAGCAGGTACTCAAATTCGAGATGCAGAAAACTATACCAGTAGTCGTTTCCTCAATCATGTCAATTGGCTTACGATATAACCTCCGGAGCATAGTAGTATGTTGCGCAAGTAATAGATCAGGGAAGTGACAATAAAATATTATCTGGAGATACAACATATAAATTGTCATCAAGGAGCTGCAATTGGAGAACAGTAAGCACTTCATGCAAACAAGACACTGATACCTTTGATGATGCCCTTAGTTTAAGTAGTGGAATCACAACAGAAACCTGGTCTACCAATATGACATCAAAGAAGGGCCATCTGAGTAGCACACAGAGTGCAACAAAAATGCAGCGAAGATAAGCACAAACAGCATGAAAGCGGTAAAACACATGACGGGGGCAGGAAATCTCCATATACAGTAACTGGAAACAGACCTGCAAACGACCAGAGAAAAAACTAGGTAAGAATTGTATTTGCATAAGCACCAATTTTATACATAATCTGTAATATTTTGCATTGCGGGAATTGAATTAACATGGAAGTGACCTGGGACAAGTGTTCTGAATCAAGGCAGAGTGTGTAAAACACAAAAACACCACAGGGAAGCTAGTTTAACTGTAATTAGAACTAGGGTGTCAACAAAATATACGTAGGTAAAGTTCTGAGCCTTACCAGAAACAGTCTCCTCAAAGCAACGGTTTTTATCATGATGTGATGTGAAGACATAAACATCATGGCCGTGGGCAGCAAGCTGGCAAGCCGCATCGACAATCAATCTCTCAGCACCACCTACACAAAAGGTATAGTTGAGCAGCTTCGATCTTTCATGCTGCGAGTATGGTCATACATTGATCATACTGCAGCAGCAGGTACTGCAAAAGGTACATAGAAATTATTCTGTAATCTGTCAACTGTGAGCTACCCATGGCAAGCACGACGCAAATACACTTCAAACTAGCACAATCACTTCCTGCATCAAGCTAATTGAACGGAGTCGCTACTTCACAAGAAGCATCACTCACGTATGTATGAAAACAACACTCCCTAGACACAGGGATACCACCTGAGTTGCCATACTCTCCTAAATATTACACAAAACTCGAGAACCTCCTGTGTCTCCAAATAGAGTTTGCGCTCCTCTTGCAGTTAAAGACACCCAAAATTTTCTGTTCCTAAAAGGTTAACCGGATCTAAACAAATAAACCTATGCGACATCTCAGATTGGACAGTGCGGGGACGCAAAGCATGAGCACGAGCGACCGGAGGTGGAAGAGGGCGACTTACCGATTCCGAGATCCGGGTGGATGACGGCAATCTTAAGCCGCTTCGTCCTCGTTCCCGACGAAGCGCCGGCAATTTCTCCTCCCGCCGCCGCCATCTTCTCCGACTGCCGCAGTCGCCAGTCGTCTTCCCAGATCCGAGATTACACACTCACAAGACGAGAGCCCGGCCCAAAAGGATCCACTCAATCCAGAGTTCCTTGAATAGCCTTTGCGACGCATAGACCATGTTCAAACGTACCGTGCACATTGGGCCTCTTTCGTCGTGGCCACGGCCCTGCCGTGCGCTTGCGGTGGTAGACACGTGGCGTGTTTGCAATATCCATTTAAATAAAAATACAGTTTAATATTATAAAAATTGTTTCAACTCAGTAAAATATGAAACCAGTTTCATATTTTTTTTTCTAAAACCATTCTCTATGTTTTCCAGAGTTAGGAACCACGATATAGAGCGTGATTTTAGGAAATACAAGAAGTTCAGCATCATAAGCATGTCCACACTGTCTTCCTACTCGATCATGTGCTCCTGGTGCGTGCATAGACCTACGGCAGCAACGACGACTAAAGTAGCGGTTGCGTCCATCCGAATGTTGTTGACCAAGTCGTAGATGCTAGCCGAGAATCTGAGAAGTAACACACCGACTGTTGTTGATGATCCAATAAACTACACACGTCATTGTCGTGATGTCCTACGAAGAAGATAATGTTACTACAAAGTAAAACCTCATGATACATGTTGATTTTTTTTTTTGGAATTTTCCATGTAAGTCTCGGTGGTTAAGCTAGACATTGTTGTTGAGGAAACGTTTTTTGCAGTTTGCACGATGGGTTGCGTTGAGTCATGCTGTGGTCTAGAAAAACTTGTCTTGATCTGCATCCTTCATTTCATATTTGACCCAGTTCCAAATTTTAGAATACCATATAAGGTCCAAATAATTATAAGCAAGGAACAAAAAGGTACAACATGATTTAAGAAAAATGTGGAACTGGTTTTATATTTTTTCTAAGTTATTAAAACATTTTTTTAATATTAAATCAGATTCTATTATTTTTAAATACATATTGATTCTAGAAAATATTTGGATATTTCTTTCAAAATATATACAGAAAAAGTCAAATTGATCTCTTTGAACTATCACGAAAGGCTGATATACCTCCTTTGTTGCTGATGTGGCGCCGGATAGAATATCGATGATGTGGCGAGTAAACCGCTTTCAGGTATTAAGGGGTAATTCTGATGGTTTCTAAGAGTTGGAGTAAAAATCTGTTTTTTTCAATTGAAGACGACAAAATAAACTCGCGCAATAGTTGAGGCAGTTTAGATGGATTTTTTCCATTCAGATCAGAGAAGATATTTGTGTCAACGATGAACGATGTCACTTGCATACAGTCACAGTCCCTTTCACAATTCCAGTTCCCAGCCTCCCATGCAAACATGGACGCAACTTGGCAATTGCATACAAGTATTCCCTTTGGCAGTTCAAGGCGCTTATTATTGAGGCCCAATGTTCTGGCTCCTGGCCTCCTCGGCCACTAGCAGATTAGCAGACCACACAACCAACGGTAGGTCCGGAACACGTACACCTATATGCGGCAACGTTACACACGCTGACACATCACACACGGCTCTTTAGGCGGCGCCGTTCTTGGGAGGGCACGGCGTAGGCCGGGCGTCGGGCGACTGGTTGGAGATGGAGATGAGCTTCGCCCTGTACCTCTGCTCCGCCACGTCGTCGTGCCCGTTCTCATCCATGCCGCCGCCGCCGCCACCGTTGCGCGGCCTGATGACGGGCGCCCCGATCTCCGGCACCGATTGGGAGATCGCGATGAGGGACTGCCGCGCGGCTTCCATCTGCGTGAACTCTGCCGGTGCTGCTGCTCCGGGTGAGGCCATCAACTGAGTGCTGCAGTTCATGTTCAAAATCAAAGAGGAAGGTAGGTGAGAGCCATAGCTAAACATGGACACATCACGCGTGGTGCAGCGCAACTCTGATGAATGAATACTTTGAACAGAAAGGAAATAGTAGCAGGTGGGAACATGCGTGGATGCACTCTGTCACATGGGCAGCTGTTGCGAGTAGCTATCAAGCGTGTGTACTAAATTAAGCAGCTAAGATAGGTACAGGCCGAAGGTTCTCACATATTTTTCAGCATCGATTATCAAAAGGCAAGTTTCAAACTGCAACCTAGGCCCCGTTTAGATGCGAAATTTTTTGGATTTTGCCTACTGTAGCACTTTTGTTTGTATTTGGTAAAAATTGTCCAATTATGAACTATTTGCTAAAAAGATTTGTCTCGTCAATTACGGACAAACCTATGTAATTAGTTATTCTTTTTACATACATTTAATGCTCCATCCCACGTACGTGTGCCGCAAGAATTTGATATGACGAAGAATCTTGAAAATTTTTGGATTTTGGGTGGGATCTAAACAGGGCCCTAATAAGAGTCGTCCAGTTTGAATGGCAAGGAAACATCTCATTGAGTGTACATATGGAAGGTACAACTAAATTTGAGTCTTAATACGTAGCATACTTCAGTTCAGTTCGAGTGGAGCGCATTCAAAGTCAGTTTAAGTGGCGCACATATATAGTTGAGTTTGAATGGACCACACTGGAGCTACATAATGAGTCAAAACTGTTCCTTTTCCCTGGATATATAGATATCAACCGTTCCACTATGGAACTACTATGGATATGGAAGTGAAGAACAAACAGGCTAGCATAGCATCGATCAAACTACTATGACCTTCTGGCCAGCTACTCCTAAGTCCTGACAAAAAGGTTAGCATCAATTTTGTACTTCCTGATCGCAAGAAATGATTTGCACTGAGAAAAAAGATCGCGTTGAATAGGTGAAAAATGCACCTCTACTCTGCCTATATAGAAGTACATACTAGAAGCATGGACTTGGGCAAACAATACCCTATCAAATCAAAGAACTTTTCATCAAAAAAAAACAAAGAACTAAATGTTCGACAATTTCCATCCTAGCCACTCAAAAATGGCACCAAGTAGGTAAACACCAGGGAAACAAAATAAAGCTCCAAGTTTAATGATTGAAATATAAGTTATCCTTGTTGAGCGCAAAATAAGAACTACGTACAAACTAATAAAGTCAGTGATGGAAACGCATCCTCGTGTACTTCTTGATTTTTACAGTCGTGGACTGAGAGCTTGGATGACACTAAATTACTCCAAACGCATCTTAATTGGGCGGGAAAAAGCACAACAGCTTCTTCCATTAAATCACCCTTAAGACCATGTTTACCGCGACAACATATGCTCGTAGAATCGTAGGAGCAGGCTACCGGAGTCTACTCTCGTAGTATTTGCTAGTAAAACACAGCAGCTGAAGTAGTCTGAAGACAAACAACCGCCCTTTTTTTTTTCCTCAGCACACATTGAACCCAACGCCTTTTAATTTGCAAAAAGTTCCAGGCTAAGCAGTAAACATATACTAACCCTTAAAAGCACGGGTCCTAGAGAAGGTTCTCGCGGTGGTATGTAAGAACAACACGGTTCAGCCATGATCCGTAGATCCAAGAAGCTAACCAAGCACTGAACTAATAAAGAACGGAGATACGCGACACCGGAACCTCACAACACACGGCTGCAACCGGTGCGAAAACACGGACGGAGATGGCGGGACGGGGAGCGCTTACCGGAGAGGCGGAGACGAAGCCGGACAACCGGAGAAGACAAGCAAACAGAGTCAGCTTTCAGGCAGCAGCCAGCTATGGGCGAGCTAGAGAAGCGATAGGGAGGGACAAACCGGGCGGCCCAATTTCTTATAGTATAGCTAACGTTTATCTCGACGAGGGGCGAGCGGTGGACCGTGGACTGCCGCGGCGTCCACCGTCCGTTGCTCCACGGACGGTGCGGGATGTGGCTCCGTCCGTGGATCAGGTCCGGGGCGAGCCTAATCCGGATGGCTCCATATCGGACACGAGCGGACACGAGCTGCGGATAAAGCGACGGGGAGATTTGCAACACGCGAGTCCGCGTCACCCGGCACATGACCAAGTGGGGTCCACCAGCCGGTGAGTCTGGGAGCTGGGGTATCTAGGCATTGGTGGGTCCCGCAGAGTTGAATAGCGTAGCGATCAGGCGGACTCGAGAACCCTCGCTCTCCGACGTCCAACGTGTAAAGTAGATATATGCTGTTGGACAAGTCTCTGCGTCATCTTAAGAACAGAGCAAATATAAGGCTGTGTTCGAAAGAGCAAGACAAGAGAAAATCCTCAAGTTTCTTATGTCAATGTCCAACGTGAAGGAACTTGATGAATCCTTGCTAACTGAATCCACGGGGCAACAGACTCTAGCAAATAAACATGGGAATGGGAACTCGACCACCATATATGCCGGATGATATATAGGTTATCAATAAGACAATATGTGAATTCATGTCGAAGTCGAAGAAGTAACTTGTCAGCCCTGATCCTCTTCTGGATTTTGTCCAGTCCCAATGTCTAGTGGCAGATGCAGGATGAGAACAAAGAGAGGGCTAAATAATAAAGATTTAAGGCTAGGGCTAAAGATTAATGATAATTTGAGACTAAGTAATCGTGGTCTAATGAAAAAATCATGCTCATATGGGGGCGCCCCTTCCCCTTTGGATCCGCCCCTGCCAATGTCCCATGGGTCTGCTTAGTATCGATCAAAATGGCCGGTTCCTATTCGCTGGCAATGGTGATAAGATGAGAGACCTGCTCTCAGTTTTCCTGGAGTTGACATGTCTAAACGAGAAACCGGTGTCTGCAAGGCTGCATTTCTTGTTCCATAATTTGACTCTTTTGAGAGGTACTATAACACTGAAAAGCATGAATACTGAATGTTATTCTCTGAACTGCTATTGTGACTTTGCCTAGTGACTTGAGCACAGAATGTCAGTAATATAAGACTGCAAATGCAGATCATTCTAGGTGACTTTTGTTTGTGATATTTGGCAAGCATTATTTTTTTTTGTTAAATATATTATGTGCTAACTATTAACTTTTTTTTGAAACGAATCAGGCAGGAGAGCTGCCGATTATATTAAAAAGAAGATAAGCCCAAAATAGGCACAACAATACAACAACGACCAACAACGCCGAAACTCAACAAAAGAAAAAGAACAACAACTCGGTTGATTCGGATTGGGACATCGACATGAACCGCACAAACAACAGAAAATAACACACTAGAGCTAAGACAACTCAACAAACAAACATGTCGTCGTCAACAAGAGCAAACAAAACAAAGACAACCAACACGAACCCTACAACCCATTGAGTAGAGGCAAAGTGACCTCTGCCACAAGATCCCAAAAGGCACGACCTTTCAATTCCATCAGAGGCTTGAGGAGATCCGGTGGCAATAAATTCTTCAGGCAACCTACAATGTCTTGTATCGCGTTGTCATCGAGCTTCCCATCCTTCCCAACGATGCCCAACTCATTTAACACGTTGCGTTGTGCAAGGCGGGTACTTCGACGAAGTGAAGACCTATCATAGGACTTACGTCAACGTCTTGCTATTACGGCAGGTGGTGAAGGGGAACGTACAGGAGGACACGGCACGTCCTTCTCCTTCCCAGTTGTGGCAGATGGAGAAGACATTGCCTTTAGTGATGGACCATCTGCTAGTTGGGACACTTCTGCTGTGACCTCGGTCGTAGAGTGTGCAAGAGCATCTTCGATGGTGATGAGATAGATGGGGTTCTCAACTATCACTTGTGAGACAGTTTCCTCATCATCAGATGCGTCCTCCACAAACACAATATCCTCAACAGAGTGACATCTTGAACACCGAGAGGTCTCTAAGGGCATTGTGTGAGTTGATCTATTATCTTCTCACCCATGATGGCACATGTATCCTCACACACCAAGGAGTTGGCAGTGCGCACGCCTCCAATAGAGGCGAGGATCGATGGCATCGGAGAGGCGCTAAAGCGAGAGGCTGGGGCGAAGAGCTCAGCCATGTTGGAAAGCAGGTATGCTCTCTAGGTGGCTCTGCCACAGGAGCAAAGAGACCGGACACATCAACAGAAGGGTCCTCACTTGGCAGCTCAGCATGCTTCAAGTGTGTAGCCAAACATGCCAGCCACAACTTGTTAGCTGAAATCTCATCTATGAGTGGCCGCACCAGATTCTCCAAATGGGTGATGATATGTTGTTGAAGCTCTGAGTGCAGTGACTGCAGCAGAGGAGTAAGTATGGATTGGAGATCAAAGATGGCCGGAGCTTGAGGTGCACGATCACAGCTGGCATGTAAATCCTCCCCTCGCAAAGGCGAAGGGCTCTGTGGAGGCGACGGTTGAGTGCAGAGTTGATTTGGCGATGATGCGACCACAATGTGTGCCCAACTACGAGTTGGTTGGGGGGTGGCGAGGATTGGCAGCTGGGGAGGGTGTGTGCTGGGTAGGGGAGGGGAACCGATGGGGGCAGTGCCTCTCCCGATGCCCAGGTCGACGACAACGAATGCAACGGAACAAATCCCGACATGAGCTAACCCGATGATCACGAGCAAGACAACGATAACATCTGCCTTGAGCCCACTGCTTGAAGGCAAGGCTGCGCTCAGATTTTAGGGTGTCCGTGGAAGGCAACGGCTCCTCGACGCCACGCCTAGGATGTGAGCGACCCTCGGAGAGGCGCCTTTGAGAGCCATGGCTGCCGTGACCTCCCGGATGAACCGGACGTCTGAGTTGGGGGCGGGTGGTTTACGGGGCGGCGACAAAGCACAGTGTCTAGATCCGGAGGCTCCGCAGCCGGTGGAGGCGCGTCGTGGTGAGGACAAACGGGGCAGCTTGGCTTCTCAATTTGGATATGTCGCAGCCGCGTGCTCCTCCTTCCTTTCCTTCGTCGTCGTGG